AAGTGGGAGCCATCTTGGAAAATATATACAAACATAGATAGATAGAAACATACATACAAACATGTTTTCACTTATTTTTTATTTATTTATTTATTTACTTTATTTATACCCTGCCCTTCTCACCCCAAAGGTGACTCAAAGCAGCTTACAAATTGGCAACAATTCAATGCCATTTGAACAAACATAAAAATAAGCATATACAGTAAACTATACAAGTTAAGAAAAAACATCTTTGCATTAAAAACCAATTATTATTATGATTTATGATATTGCTGCAATATAACAATGTAGACCCCTTCCCCCATCTTCCTCTCCAGAATGTTGCACCCTTTTTTCTTATACCCATCCCGCTCCCCCAATCCCCTAAATACACAAAGTTCTCTAGGTACAGACTAGGTACAGATTGGGGAGGGCAGTTCTGTTATATATGGATATAGATACATAGGTATTATAGATGTATAGATTATTATCATTATTTGAAATACAACAAGACTAGTATACAGCAAACAAGATCACTATGCTGGTTGTTGTATTGGATCACACGTCGGACAATTCCCAGAACTATGTGATTATTATTATTATTATTATTATTATTATTATTATTTCTTCTTACCCACCTCTCCTCGAGGCGGGGCACAGCACAGTTAAAAACACAACCATAAAACATCATGTATTTCTTATGGCGGCACTTATGGGGGTGTTGGCTAAGCTTCCGTTGCCCCCAGTTGCCCTGACCGAAGCCCTTTTCTTTGCCATTTCAGATTGAAGAGGAGTTAGCGGCCCTCCAGAAGGAGCGCAGCGAGCGGATCAAGATCCTGTTGGAAAGGCAAGAGCGAGAGATTGAAACTTTTGACATGGAGAGCCTTCGAATGGGCTTTGGAAATTTGGTCACATTAGAATTTCCTAAGGAGGACTACAGATGAGATTAAATTTCTTTTGCCATTAAAAACAAAACAAAAATGCAAACCAACAACACAAAAACCAATCTCAAAATATCCCAACATTCCCCCCATGTTAACGGGTGTGCTCTCTCTCTTTCTGTCTCTCTCTTACTGACATCGCGTCGGACTTAGTGCCTGTATATTCTTACTCCATCAGGGGCCCCCCCTTCCCGCCAAGTGTCACGTTCCGGAGCTGGACCGCGCTCGGCAGCCTCTTGAATCTCATAGTGTCTCACAGTATTGATGTCTCTGTGCAATGATTTTTTTAAAAAACAAACAAACAAAAAATAACGTTTCAGTGGAAACTTTGGAGACAATTCTAATGAGTCAAAAAAAACAAAAACAAAACAAAGTGGATGTATGTTTGCTTTTGAGCAATCACTCATGTTGTGTTGCCACCAACCAATGACAAATACAAGCAAAAAACAAAATAAAACCACACACAAAATTTTTAAAACCAGAAGTCAGATTCCCCAGGGGGAGAGAGATGGATATCGCAGCCTTACCTTAAATCAGCTGCTGCATAACATTTAGTTTTTAATTTTATTATTATTATTATTATTATTATTATTATTATTACGATGATTTCTTTTTTTGGTATTTATTCATCAGGAATAATTAAATGAAAAAATAATAAAAAAAATTTATTAAGAGATCGAGAATTTGATACATTTTACAGAAAATATGAATTCTGACTTGTGCTGTACATATCAGTGGTGGACATAATTATTACTTTGGGGGCGGCGGGGCGGGGAAAGGGGGGGCGGGTGGGGAAAGAGGGAGAGACTGATTTTTTTGAAAAAAATAAAATAAAATAAAAGGGCCAGGCCAGGCCAAGTGGGTTTTTTGGCCGCGGTCTTTGGCACATTCTTGATTGTATCATAAATCATTTTCTGCTGTAGCAGAGAATGTGAATACACTTAAAAAATAAAAATAAAAAAAAGACGCCCAGAAGGATCCCAGGAGCACAAATTGGGCCTTGTCAAATTGTGTATTTTGTGTATAGAAGGAAATTTAAGGAGAAATTTACTTATTTTCATATTGTATTTTAACTGTTTCTCTGATCAGAAGTTTTTTTACTACCTGCCTCCTTGTCCCCACCCCTCTCTGGACCACGTCCACCCCTTTCCTTCCCCTTTGCCACCTCTTTTCCAGATCAATCTTTGGAGTTTAAACACTGTCTCTCAGTCGCATCACCTTGAACTTTCCTCCCTCCTCCCCCGACCGGCCCTGCTGCGTCCTGTTATTATTCCTTCTCCTCCTCCTCCTCCTCGACCTTTGGTTCCTCCTTCCCACATTTCCTTCCTTACCTCCCCTCCCTCCCTTCTCCCCCGAAATTCTTGGTCATGAATATTGCATTATTCACACTTTCAAACTGTGTATTTTCTTACAATAAAAAAGGTTTAAAAAAAAGGCTTTACTTCTTTTGCATGCACTTTAAAACAAAACAAAAAAATTCCCCACGAAAATGAGACGAGACAAAAAAACAAAACAAAACAAAACGATTTTACTTTTTTTCCAGGTTCTAAAGGAAGAGCATGATAAACTTGTCAGAGCTTTTAATAATCTTTGTAAATAAAAATGTTGCTCACGACGCTTTGCTGTGTCATTGTAGCCAGAGGGAGCATCCCCTCCCCGCTGCCCGTCGGGTGCGGAGGACGGCCGGTTGCGCCCTCCCTGCTTTTGGGACATTCAGCAGCAGCAGCAGAGAGAGCCTTTTTGACGGAGACGTCACTGTGTCGTCCACCTTAGTTGGGAGGGAAGAAGTGTCTTCTAATCTCTGTGTAAAGCAGGAGCGGGCAATGTTCCATTGTGGCCCATGCCTTGCCTCCAAATGACCCACAGTGCTCTCTAGGGGAAGAGCAACCATTGAGAATGTCCAAAGTGTACCTCAAAGCTTCTTAAACTGTGGGGTCCCTTTAGCTAAAGGTTGGGAGTCCCAATTTTTTTTTCTGAATGCCACCTACTGGCTGCTTTAGGCATTTACATGAATGTGTTGTGCAGTGTTTACAATGGACTCTGCTGAAGAAGTTTCAGCTATACTTCATAAGAAGGAAAATCAGCCTGTATAGCAAGCCTTGCAAGTGCTTATTTGTGATCAGTAAATGTTTGGATTTTATACCAATTTTCATATACCTGATGTCACATCCAAATTTCTTAGGCAGAAAGGGGTCGCAAGTGGAAAGAAGTTCAAGAAACTCGACTTTACAGCATGTTTGGGGGTAATAATGTATGAGTGTTACTGCATTTGCTCATGAATACGTCTAGAAATTTTCATACAAAGGTTGACCCCCCAAACTTGGATCGACTTCACTGTACCTTAATGAATGTGTGTGTGTAGGTATGTGTGTGTATGTATAAAATACTGAGTGGTGAAGAACTTAATCTGTCCAAGGAGAATCTAAAGAAAGTACTGATCCACTTTGCTCTCTCGGCCATGGAGCTATTTCTGACCTTTTTGAATACTTGGCTGGTCAAATGATCATTGGGGCCTCCAAGTTGGCATTGGCACTTTCCCCTCCCCATGGAATGACCCTTGACTTATCCATGGGTCCCATCAAAAATCCATAATTTTGGCCCCTCGACTTATACATGAGCTTGATTTATACATGGGTATGTATGTATAATACTCTTGATGTATGCATGAGCAAGACTTATACATGAACTAGACTTATACGTGACTGTATTACCAAAGGTTGGTATGGTGGAAAGCATGACCCTTCACGTTCTCCTGAGGGCTAATGCAGCTTCCTAGCCTTCTTCAGTTGCCCTCCCCAGTAACTGAGGAGGAGCTTCGGCCATGTATTGTGCTCCTGCCCTGAAAAAGCCCTTTCTTGGTGCTCCTTGCAAACTCTTAGAATGAAGACAGAAGTAATATTTATGTCCTCACTGCCACCTGTCTCAAAGTGCTTTCCTTTTCAGGCTGCCAGCTGGTCCTGAGTCTGTATTGGGAGAAAGATGGGATCAAAATAAAGGAAATAAATAGATAAAATGAGGCAGGGGAGTACTAGTTATGGCTCTCTTAAGCCTGGATAGTTTTCATGGGATGGCCTTCAACATCTCCAAGAAACACATCCCACCTACAGTGTTTTATTTTAAAATATGTAGCATGACTGCTAGCCCCATCATGGGAGTGATGCTTTAAAAGCAGAGATGGATGCTTCACACCTGAACAATGGAAGTAGGGCCGAACGAGCTGTTATTTCAATGGCCGTTGGGAGGCATTTCTATTATGAGTGCCTTCCTTCCCCGTTTTTGAAGGCTGATGAACATATGCCTGAGGAAAGGGCAACCATTTTCAGATGCCTGTTTTGCTCACAGAGGTTCTCTTTTTGAATATCGATCCATTTCCCATTTTGATCAAACTCTTCTATCAAAAGGTACCTTGGGAAATTTGAAATGTTCTGACCCGGCATAATTGTGTTCTCAGCTTTCGTGGTACTTAGCAATCAAGTTTGGTTTCCAACAACTGATTACATTGGGATTTAGATAACCTCTGAAATGTGCCCTGAATTTTCATTTGTCTGTACAGGTTGAGTATCCCTTACCTGAAATGCTTGAGAGCAGAAAGGTTGCGTATTGGTTTTGGATTTTGGGGGAACTGAACAATATTTACTATATTCCCTATATAGTTAGCCTGAAGGTCATTTCATAGGCTGTATTTGTAATAATGTTCTATATGAAACAAAATGAGTGTATCAACCATCAGCAAGCAAAGGTCTCACCATCCCAGCTACCTATTTTGGATTTTGTAATTTTTTGGATTTCTGGAAAAAGAATACTCAACCTATTTCAATTTTGAAAGCAAACTGTATTGTTCATAATTGAGATGTTTGTCTAGTTTTGCCTATCCAAGAGTTCATCTGCACTGAGGAATGAATGCAGTTGGACACTACTGACTCAATGCTGTGGAATTCTGAGATCCATAGTTTGGTGGGACACCTGTCCTCTTTGGCAGAGAAGGTGAAGCCTCGTCACTACAACTCCCATGGTTCCACAGTATTAAGTCATAGCAGTTTGAGAACCCAAGTGTAGAATGGCTAGCAGACAGCAAAGATGTAAATGGGAACATTTTGGCTCTTTATTCAATCTGCTTTATTCCATTCCTCCACTGACTCTTCCAAACTCCGATGCCTGGCTTTCCCCAGACCAGGATCACACGTCCTCTTTGACATTCATTTGCTTGTAGATCTTGGGGACAGTGCTGTCCCACTCGGCCAGGTAGCAGTTCCCCGCCACCGGAGCCCCCAGCTTGTACTTCTTACGGAAAGCCGAGGCCCGAAAATGGGCACGCCCAGTGGCGGTGACACTGTCCAGAATGGCTTCGTCACAGGTGAGGGGCTGCAGCTGCTCATAAACCAACCAGACGTAGCGGTGAAGTCCTGCAGTGGGCAAGAACAGAATGTATGATGTCAAACTATGGGCTGATCTTGCTCAGACTGGAGACAAATCCCCAAAGGTTTGGGAACAAAGTGTACAGGGCGATTTCTCTTCATTCACAGCGCAGGCCTTGGGCGTGAGCTTTTCAACACTGTAATCCACAGCTGTTTGTTGAACTTAATCCTACCCCACAAAAGGGGCATTCAAGCCTGAAGAGAAGGGCAGGTTCGGCCCTGGTTCCAACATGTTCATGGCCCTGGATCCAACAGGGAGATGACCCTGAGGCTAAAAAGCCACTCCTATTAGGCTTTGCGGGGGCAGCAGTCAATTTCAACTATTGACCACTGCATTGAGTACCGCACTTCACAGTTATAGCACTATGATACCACTTTTTAACTGTCATGGTGCAGACCTATCGAATCCTGGGGTCTGTCATTCAGTTAGAAATCTCTGCCAGAGAACTTGAGCTGGGTCACCAAACTACAAGCTCTAGGATTCCATAGGACACAACAATGGCTTTTAAAGTGGAATCGTAGTGCTATATTTACGCCATGTGAAAGGGTCCTTAGCAATGGTAGTGAAACCTCTGGGAATGGCTAGCTAAGCCCCATCTAAGATACAGCAAAGCCAGCTGAAATAATTGGTCTAGAGACCCCAGAGCTCCTAAGGTTCGGAGAGAAACCCATCCCGATTTTTCTTTTTCCTCTGGGCTTAACTGCAATTCTTTCCCATGACAATAGAATACTGTATGCTATCCCTCTTATTCAACATAATGGGGATTGGCTCGAAGCGTCAATTGACCTGTTATAAAGGGATAGAAATGGTTTTGTGATGGGGACAGAGAGGACCTCCCTGGGAAATATGGTTCTGGGTGGAATTATTCCCATATTGACTTGGCACAGACTTCCAACATGGGCAGTTTCCATTGGCAGTTCAAGATGTCGACATTTGCCTCGAATGGACTGCCAAGGTTGCCAAACTGATATGAGTTTTAAAGGAGAAACCAACTTAAGGTGGTTAGAGAGATTGGAAATGGTTGATGGTTTGTTTTTTTTGGGGGGGGGTGCAATAGGAAATCTAGCAACACAACAATCCATGACTGTGGTTAATAGTAATTCTAGGAGTGTGGTTTAGCTGGGTGTGTAATGATGGAATAATAGGTTTCTTCTTTCTTTCATTACAATTTAGGTGGGGGGCGGGGAGTCAGTCCTTTTGTGTTCCATTAGAGCAGCATATCTCTTCCAACAGAAAACACAGTATTTTCTGTTGGCCATGAGGTCACGAAGAGTCGGAGACGACTGAACGAATGAACAACAACAAAATGGGGGTTCCGTGTGGGAAGTGGCCCAATTCTATCGGCGGGGGTCAGAATGCTCCTTGATTGTAAGTGAACTATAAATTCCAGCAACTACAACTCCCAAATGTCAAGGTCTATTTTCCCCAAACTTCATCAGTGTTCACATTTGGGCATATTGAAGATTCGTGCCAAGTTTGGTCCATATCCATCATTGTCTGAGTCCACTGTGCTCTCTGGATATAGGTGAACTACAACTCCAAAATTCAAGGTCAATGCCCACCAAACCCTTCCAGTATTTTCTATTGTTCATGGGAGTTCTGTGTGCCAAGTTTGGTTCAATTCCATCATTGGTGGAGTTCAGAATGCTCTTTGATTGTAGGTGAACTATCAATCCCAGCAATTACAACTCCCAAATGGCAAAATCAACCCCTCCCCCAACCCCACCAGTATTCAAATTCAGGTATTTGTGCCAAATTAGGTCCAGTGAATGAAAATACATCTTGCATATCAGATATTTTATAACAGATATTTTATAACAATTCATTACAGTTATGAAGTAGCAAAAAAAATCAACTTATGGTTGGGGGTCACCGCAACATGAGGAACTGTATTAAGGGATCGCAGCATTAGGAAGGTTGAGAACGATTGCATTAGAGAATGGCAAAGCCCAAGTACTTCAGTTGGATATATAGATTCCAAGATTGCGAATGAAGCTCATCTGAATTAAAATGTGAACCCCTTTCATGTCTTACTGATCTCTGGAGCTGTTAGTCCAGGGCTACCATGCTCTTTGAGCAGAAAAAAATCATCCACAAGGAGGAGAAAATATCTCTCCCAAACTGAAAAGCCAAGAAGCTGTCAAGGTAGAAAGAAAGATCCAACAACGGACTCTCCCATGAGCATTGTTTGAAGAGCAGGCCAGATTAGCAGGCTCCGCTAATCTTCGAGGCAAGCAAAGCGACCCACCCAAAAGCAAAAAATGCATTGTTTGGTGTCTGGGCTTCGTCTCTGCTTGCCTTTGCAAAAGAGGAGCACCTGGGTTGCTATCGGAGATTTGCCCAAAGCCATGGTTTGGAACACGAACATGCATGAATCATTGGACACTACTGAATCCATCATGACAGGTGAGGTCAAGCTTGCCCAGGGAGAGGTGTTCCCACTGTTGTGCCCTCTATCTTACTGCCATGGCTTTGGAAAGTGAGTGAACTCCATATCTAGGATTGTTGTGGTTACTCACCCCTTGAGGTTTCTAGGCCCATGGGGCCGACCTACCTGTGTCCTTGCCTGGTGCAGAGCCAACGTAATCGGTCAGGACGCACCCGCTGCTCATGTCGTGGCCTTTCATGTTGGTCACCAGGCAATGGTGCCACTCTCTGAAGGAGAAAGTGGGGGGGGGGAGCAAAAGTCAACATCCGCTGCTCACAATTCAAAATCCAAAGCTGATCTTGCCCATGTACCTTTGGTGGCATGTGGTTGGCAGACACTTTCAGTGCCCATGAGAGATATTATAAAGAAAGCTCATTGTTTCTCATCTATCCATCCACCTATCCTATCTATCCATTGACACTGATGGATACATATCCATCTATCTATCTAACATCAATCTGTCCCATCCACCTATCTATCCACCCATCCCCATTGTGTTTTGTACTATATAATAATCCTGATGGCTTTTGTTGGTCCAGGTAAAGCAGTGGTTCCCAATCTTTTTGTTCTCCAGGTGTTTTGGACGTCAGCTCCCACAATTCCTGATAACTGGGAAGCTGGCTGGGATTTCTTGGAGCTGGAGTCTAAAACAGCTGGAAGACCAAAGGTTGGGAACCACTGAGCTAAAGGACTGAGATTTTCAACTCAGGGGCTTTTTCTAGAAGCATTTTCCAAAAATGATTAAATATTATGATGTTTTGTATAGATACAGTTGCACAATTATGTGTTGTCCTTTGGGCAGTGATCATTTTCTACTTGTTCTATACAGATCCCGGAGGCGGCCATTAAAATGTAGGCCTGGGGCTTGCATCAATTTGTGCGTCAATAATCCAGATGGCAGAGGAGCCCTTGGAGATGTGTCTCCTCTTTTTTCTTTCCTGGGGATGTTCTTCAGTCTTGGTCTCTGCTTGTGGGGAATCTCTCCCTCACCTGGATTTGGGGTCTTCCCGGCTGGGAACATCCAAGTCGGTCAGAATCAGGGTGTAGAGTTTCTTCGGGTCACATCCGGTCCAGTCGATGCATGTTGGGTGGTTCTGGACCTACAAGATAAAACATTGGCAAATCCGCACCATGGATAGAGAAGACCCTTGTCCCCAACTCCAGTGAATCAAACCCCAAATCCATCCAGAGCTTGAATTTTTTTTTCAAAAAGAAAAACTCCCTAAAGCAAACCTTGATTTTGCCATCTTATATAATGCCTCTGTCTACAATAGAATTGGAGCCTCCATGGATACCGAAGGCTCACTGTGCTCCCATTTCGTTTTCCAATAAAAAACCCTTAATCATTATTGACATCTCAACCCCCTCCTTTGTCCTATTGGATTAATTGCTCTTTGAAAGGAGACATTTAGTTCCGAACAAAAAAACAGGCCCTGCTTCTATCCGTCCAATTATTCTAAAAGTTGTATTTATATAGAAATGAACCTTAAGTGTGCTTAAATTGATTCCAATTAACAGGAGGCGTACTTCAGACATGAGGGGGAATTAAATGTTTACGCAGCCGCACAAACAGATAATTAAAATCTTCATTTTTTTCTGATTGACGATAGTGCTTTTAGCATCCCGCTCAAAGAGGGAACATATTTGGTTTAGTGCTGGCTTTTTTGTGCCGCAGCCCACATTGTCAGAGCGACCCAACCTTGTTTTTCTGTTGTCTTGTTTGTTTGATATGTTTACCACGAGGCAGCAGGGCGCTCTAGCAATTTGAGCATTGGGAAAATAAGATCCAAATTCTGCTCGGCCATGGAAAGCCATTGGGTACCTTTGGGTGAGTCACACGATCTCAGCCTCAGAGCAAGGCAAAGGCAAATCCCCTCTGACGACATCTTGCCAAGCAAATCCGGCATTTGGTTCACCTTATTAAGGTCTCCATAAATTAGAAGCAACACAAATGGACACACTTTGCTTATTCCTGAATCAATTACTTTTATTTAACAGTCAGTTTCTTTGTTTCAGATTTAAAGGGATGGTTTCAAATTTGGGCAAGTTTTGATTAGAAATGAACAGACGTCTCCACCATCTTCATCGCAATGGTTTTCCCTTTGGAGAGGAACCAATGGGATCTCCCTGCTTTGGAGTGGCTTCTTGAAAGATGGAACCCATCAAAGAAAAAGTTGGGGTAAACTCTATTCAGGACATGGACAAGTCAGAAGGAACCAAGCCAGACTAGGAAAGACTAAACACCCCAAAGACTGGATCCTATTGGTCAATCCTATCCAGAAATATTGCTGAATGGTGAACCAACACTTATGCAAGTCCCATTTATTCCATGGGCTTACTTTAATTAAGTTTGAGTTCCAGTTGAAGCTTTCTGTTCTAATTGGTCCATTTGTCAGCTCTGATCAATATGTAAAGAAAAGTGCAAAGTTTTTTTATTCAAAAAATAAAATATAAAATCTTCTTATATATTATACTAGCCGTCCCCTGTCACGCGTTGCTGTGGCCCACATGGGGGTTCTGTGTGGGAGGTTTGGCCCAATTCTATTGTTGGTGGGGTTCAGAATGCTCTGTGATTGTAGGTGAACTATTAATCCCAGCAACTACAACTCCCAAATGTCAAGATTCTATTTTCCCCAAACTCTACTAGTGTTCACATTTGGGCATATTATTTGTAGAGTTTGGTCCAGATCCATCATTGTTTGAGTCCACAGTGATCTCTGGATGTAGGTGAACTACAACTACAAAACCAAAGGACACTGCTTACCAAACCCTTCCAGTATTTTCTGTTGGTCATGGGAGAACTGTGTGCCAAGTTTGGTCCAATTCGATTGTCGGTGGGGTTCAGAATGCTCTTTGATTGTAGGGGAACTATAAACCCCAGCAACTGTAACTCCCAAATGACAAAATCAATTTTTTGAGTGAAGGACATACATTAGGTTGTTAGGTGTCTTGTGTCCAAATTTGGTGTCAATTCGTCCAGTGGTTTTTGAGTTCTGTTAATCCCACAAACGAACATTACATTTTTATTTATATAGATTGTATTTATATATTTTATTCTTCTGCTTGTTTGTTGTTGGTTCTTCTACTTCAATTCTTGAGCATCTAGTAGGTGCAGCAGCTTGGATTGGTTCTCCTAGTTAATCCCACTATACCACCATCTTGGTCCTCCCAGTTAAACCCACCATAATGCCAACCTTGGTCCTCCCAATTGATCCCATTGTGATGTCAACCTTGGTCTTCCCAGTCCATCCCCTCATAATACCAATGCTTAGTAGACTCTGCCTTTCCAAAATCTTCACCAATGGCTTCATTCTTCTTTTCTTCATCATGCAATGTCCTTCTCTTTCTCCATGACCCTCCCCCCCACCAATTCCCCAAACATCCCTCAACCCATTCCCATTTTGAGATCAAACACTCAATATGACGCACCCCCAGGGCATAAATGTATGAATTAAGGCACAATTCAAGAAACACTGCCATGACACAAGAGATGGGTTTCAAAAGATCCAGCTTTTATTAGAATTTCTAGGTGGAATCCTTGAGGGAAGGGGATGGTGTCGACACCTGGGCTGTAGCCACCATTCTTCCATTCTCTGTTCTTTGGGATGAATTACTATTCTCTTTGTTCTCTTCTGATGTTGGATAAAATCTAATTTGGTGAAATAGGCTTGAAATTTGGGTTCAGGCGGCCTCCTTCAAGGCTGGCGGATCTTTTGAGCAGGCTGGTGCAGGGGGGATTTGGGTCCATTTTCCTTCTCTCTCTTCTCAGTGGGTTGTTCCTCCAGCCTGGCTTCTTTTATTTCATTTTTTCAGAGAAGAGAGAAGGACTTCCTTTTTAGCTTGCGACGTTTGGGAAAGCATTTGCAGTTGACTGGGTCAACCCAGAAGCATCAAGGGAGGAGGAGCCATGGTCTTGGTTCTGATTGGTAAGGGACCCTTGGTTGGAGGCCTCATGATCCGTTCCGCTGCCCTGGCATCGTCTATTGGCTCTGGGGATGACCCACTTGGCTTTCTTCTTCTTCGCCACTTTTTTCAAGGTGATCTGGAGAGCTTTGTGATAGGCGGCTCTGGAGTTGAAGCTCTTCTTGGCTTTGTGGAACCGTGGAGCCCCCTTCTGCTTGGTCACCCTCAGGAGCTTCTTCCTCTTGTCGCCTTTCATGGGCACCTTCCGGGTGACTCTCAGGGACTTCTTCCGGGCCGCAGCAGCTCTCAGGGATGCCTTCCGGCTGGCCAGCTTCAGGGGTGCCTTGCGGTTCCTTGATCTGGAGGCCACCACCCGATTGGTTAACCTCAAGGTCATCTTGCGATGGCTCTGTCCCCCCCTGGTGGGGTGCTTGCCCTTTTTTGCTACAAAGCGGTGGGCTCGCATCCTACGGTTGAAGAAGGAAGGCATCAGGTAGCGTGTGGCATAGTAATTTCTCTTGGGGAACTTGACCATGACCACCTTCCTTTTGGGCCTTGAGGTCTTCCCGCGTCTGGTGAGGGCGTTCCGGGGTCTTCCATGACGACATTTTCTCGAAGTAACAGTCTTCTTGGTTTTCTTGGCAGCAGCCATGGTTTGGCTGTCTTAAGGAGCTGATTCACCTGCAAATGCTGGTGAGTCTAGACCAGCAGGCCTTTTATATAGGGTGGGCTCTGAGCTCCTGATTGGCTGAGAGGACAATGGCCCCAAGGACAGCCTCAGAAGACCAGATTGTGAGGTTGCTTTCGTTGTAGCAACCAAACCCATTGGCAAGAGTCAAGGGAGGACCATTTGGCAGCCTGTGATTGGCTGGCTGGGGCAATGGTTCCAAAGGGGTCACTTTCGTTGTAGCAACCAAAGCCCATCGCCAAGATTCAAATGAGGGCCATTTGGTGGCCTGTGATTGGCTGGCTGGAGCAATGATTCCAAAGGGGTCGCTTTCATTGTAGCAACCAAAGCCCATCATCAAGATTCAAATGAGGGTCGTTTGGTGGTCTGTGATTGGCTGGCTAGGGCAATGTCTCCAAAGGGGTTGCTTCCGTTGTAGCAACTAAAGCCCAAAGATTCAAATGAGGGTCATTTGTTGGCCTGTGATTGGCTAGCTGGAGCAATGGTCCCTATGACTTTTTAAAGCATTTTATGTCAACATTCAGGATTAAATAGAATTATTATTATTATTATTATTATTATTAATAATAATAATAATAATAATAATAATAATATATTTCTTACTCGCTTCTCCTTGTTAATATGAATATAAATACTCCATTGCAATATCTATATGTTAGTTCAATATCAGAGAGTACAAACATTTGGTAAATATAATATTTTATTTCAACTGTCAGGATTAAACTGATTGAATACAGTTATGGGGAAAAAAAGGGAACAAATTCACAAAACCCGGAATAAAATCACAATTACAATCAGACTTCATTGCAAGATCTATATATCAGTTCAATATCAGTAGATCCAAGAACCTTATTTATAATATTCCCTTTCTCCTGTTGGGAATATTGAAAATGGGTTCATCCAAAAGCCCAAAGATTGTCCAAAGGTGCAAACAACAGGGTTTTAAATGTGGTATATCTAATAAATGCCAAGTACATTTGTCTCCAACTATTTACCCTTTTGTGCTGTCGCACGCTGGGCCTGTGCATAAGACTGTAGACAGGACATAAATTCCGTGTGCCCAACGGGACGCCGGGGCTGCCTCAGATTAAAGGCCTTTGGATTTCCTTAAAACAGAGTCTTTAGATTGCTTAAAGGTTCAACAAAGTTCTTTATTAATGAAAACAAACAGGTACTTTAAGACTTTCTTAACAGTCTATTGGCTCTCTCTCAATCTTGTCCACGGGGAACAGGCACTATCTTCATAACTGTAACTAATGGGGAAATCCTTAACTTCTAATCTGGGCAGTCTGTCTTTGCCTCTGTTGGCGTGGAGCCCCTGCACCCGGTACCAACTGCTTCTGGCTTCCGCGAGTGACCCTTACCAAGCAGAGCTTTGTAGACTTCCAGGGGAAAAAGAATTCAGGTTTCCATGATGGCTGACTGAAGTCCTTCCGCAAAGGAGCTGTAAGGCTGTATGATCCTCGGCCAAGCTGTGGGCTATATAACCCCGGCCAAGCTGTAGGGGAC